TCACAGTATGAAGCAAAACTCCGACCTCCCTTCGTTAGTGTAGGATTACAGTATGAACTTCTAGCATGTGGACTTATTGTGAAATATGAAATTTGACAAAAATTTTTTCAAAAAATCTGAAAAATCGTGTATTAGGGTTTTCGCGCACGCTGGTTCAACTACATAACTTTTTACGAATGTTTTTAGCTTTTTTGATGGTGTAATTGCATTTTGACAAGTGCTGAAATTCATTTATTAAGGTTTACCTAGGATAACCTCGGAAAGAAGCGTCACAGTAAAGTGAAAAATTTCATATTCGAAATCACCGGCTTTTGTTATCATAGTATAAGAATTCTTGGCTTGTTTGACTTTGTTCCGAGGCAGAAAATGGCCTCCAATGGCCTATAATCCTTGTCGAAATCCCTACCGTAATCCTACAGTAATGAAGAATGATCGATGATTCGTTCCATGCTGTAGATCTAAGTTGAACCTCGCTGTATAGAACGGTGCCTCAAGCTTGGCGAAGGACATGAAAGCAAGGGAGTTATTAATGATCAAACAGTGCTCACATTTTTTGGGACACCCTGTAGATGCCAGGTTATTGCCATGCAAGACTAGATTTTCACTATTTTGCAATTCTGGGAGATGCACCATACGTTCGATTAATAAGGATCAGTTTGATCCCATACTTACACAGCATCTTACACGATGCGGTTTCAGAAATTATGAAAATATTGTCGTTACCATCTTATATATAAAGCTGAATGTCTGTTTGTATGTATGTATGTATGTCTGTCTGTCTGTCTGTCTGTATGTCTGTCTGTCTGTACGTATGTTCCGAATAGAAAATTCCATTTCTGAACTGATCCGGACCAAACTTGGCGCGCATACACTTCGGGCCCCGGCGGGTGTCATAGGCTACTTTTCGTCATCGATCGATATCGATTTTATCGATTTTTTGCAAAATTTGAGCTACGGGGCTGGGAGTTGGCACAGGGGGGTAAGTGAGCATGGGGATTCCGAATACAATATTAGTTTTTAAAATCGTGCATTACTTTTATCGATTTTATCGATTTTTTTGCAAAGTTTGAGCTACGGGGCTGGGATTTGGCACAGGGGGTAATCGAGCATGCTGATCACCCCCGTAGGGGTGATCAGCATGCTCGATTACACCCCCCCCCCCCAGCCAAATTCCAGCCCCCTAGCTCAAATTTTGCAAAAAATCGATAAAATCGACATCGATCGATAACGAAAAGTGGACTGTGACACCCGCCGAGGGCCCGAAGTGTATGTGTGCCAAGTTTGGTCCGGATCGGTTAAGAAATGGAATTTTCTATTCGGAACATACGGCGGAGCCGGGTAAGCCAGCTAGTTTATATTATATGATGAACAAATTTGGGCGCTATTCCAGTATCCGGGCCCCAAAATTTATTTGTCATGGATTTTGCTGAAACTTGGCCCAGGGGACTTATTCGGCCCGCTGATGCCGAATATCATATTGTTTTTGTACGACAGCGTCATTTTCTAGGGTTACGGTGGGTATGCGGTAGGGGGTCAAAATCACGGAATTCGCCGAAACCCCAGGGGGGTTATTCGAACCCGCTGATGCCGAATATCATATTGGTTTTGTACGGTAGCGTCATTTTCTCGGGTTACAGTAGGTACATGATAACGGGTGAAAAACATAGTTCTGCCTGAAACGGATGTACGGCGATTAGGACGTCGTGTAACTTTGCACACGCCACCATCGCCGCGTGCTACACACCCTGCTGCGGCTTTTGCCTAAGCAAAACACAGGGAGAAGATAAATTTTTTGTGATTTTGACCCCTACCGTAAACCTACCGTAGCCATGCAGGGAAACGTTTTCGGGCGGAGAAAGTGTGACATGTCTAATCAGCATGTCGGATAACCCCTCTGTGCGAAGTTTCAGCGAATTCCGTGATTTTGACCCCCTACCGTATACCCACCGTAACCCTAGATAATGACGCTACCGTCCAAAACCAACATGGTACTCGGCATCAGCCGGCCGAATAAGTCCCCTGGGCCAAGTTTCAGCAAAATCCATGACAAAAAATTTTGGGGCCCGCATACTGGAATAGCGCCTGTAATCGATCGATAAGCCTCCATCCTAGAGCATTGTTTTTTTGTACTCTCTCGCCATCCAAAGCCGCTGCGCGTGTACAGTTCGTGTTAATCACGTGCTCCCTTTTCCTAAGCGCAGTGATTTTCGCGCCACGTTTGCGCGCGTATGGCTCGGGCATTCAAATTGGCCTTATCGATTGGCGGTCCGCGCGCAGGGCCCTTGCGTTGCGCATGCGTAGGTCCCATGCGAAAGGGAGTACGTAATTGACATCGACTGTACGTTGACAGTGCTCCGCCCACTCTAGCGAAAGCGAGCAAACGATATAAGAGTCGAGAACGCTTCGGTCACGTTTCGGACAAGCTCGAATTTGTTCTTTCTAATAGCGTTTTCGACTTCTTTGTTATCAAGTGAATACGAAAATAGTCCTCTGTCTATTCAAAACTTCCTAGCCATCTAGTTAAAAACCTAGAAATGTCGAAGAAGCGTGCTTGTTTGAAGAGTTCCACGGAAAAGTTTATGCATACCAAAAAAGGTTAAGAAGACCCATTGTCATCATACTTTGCCACCTTTTATCATTAACCTACTGCCGCTGTCCGATGCCCCCAGCACTAACTTCAAAGGCTACGACTTGGACTTGAATGTATCGATATTCTACACCTTTATTCTAGGAGAGGTGTAAGGCTTGATACATTGCTTAATATAGTGTCCCTGCAGACGCGACAACGCTCGGGCGTCAATAATTGCCTGACGAGTTCCCGAGCTAGTGTTTTCCTGTGTTTCCTTTGCTTATTCCATGCTTTTTAGGTGATTCGTTGCTGATAAGGAAGAAAAGGGTAAGTTAGAAAGTAGTTTCTGTTTTCTGAGAAGTTCTATCATCGCATATTCACAGATATCCACGTGAAAACAGTTCACGTCAGCTTCTTGTCTATTTTTTGTCACTTCATGTCTCTTTCTTCTTGTGAGGTACTTCTTTGAACGCTAGTGGGTTTTTAACGATTGACTTATTGTCTTTATCCCATGAAGTACTTGATTAAAATGCTATTTCTTATGGATGAAAGCCGAAGTTGCTGCAAGACTAGCCAACTAGCGTTCAAAGAAACGCCTCACAAGAAGGAGGAGGTTTTAAAGAAGAAGTGGCAGAAGAAAAGGAAATGACAAAGAAATAGACAAGAAGCTGACGCGAAATGCTTACACATAGATATCTGTGAGTATGCGATGATAGAACTTCTCAGAAAACAGAAACTACTCTTTAACTTACCCTTTTCCTCTTTATCAGCAACGAATCAATTAAAAAGCATGAAATAAGCAAAGAAGACCCTGGAAAACACTAGCTCGGGAGCTCGCAAGGCATTTATTGACGCCCCAGCGTTGTCGCGTCTGCAGGGACACTATATTAAGCAGGACTTCTACTCGACTGTACCTCGCTGCTCAGGTATGGACAAAACCAGCGAGCAGCGAAGGCAGCGCTGCTTCGGCTGATCAGCGCTGCAGTCAACTGCTGTGTGTGTGTATGTTTTGATCATGGAAGAAAGACGGACTTTGTTTTTGAAGCGCTAATTGCAGCTTGAAAACCGGTAAAAATAGGTAGATTCAAAGAAAAGCAGCTATTGCAGCTCCTCAGACACTTTTTCCGACGGCCCGCGCGCTTTCATGAGCCTACCGTGCGAGCGGCGCGCCTAGATCTGTGGGCGTGGCATCGTTTCCGACGGGCGGCGCGCCATCGAAAACTACCGTGCAAGCGGCGCGCCTTGCCTTCGACGGGCGGCGCGCCATCTTGAGTGACCGGGCGAGCGGCGCGCCATCAACAAACATGTAAGAACAACGAACATATAACTTAACAAGATGCGTAAGCATCATTTTGAATTGTTATTAGCCGTAGGAGGTTGCAATTGTTATCGCATTTTGGTTCCTTGTCTGTTTTGCCGGCTAATCGTCTCCATTCTTTGTAACTTTTTTCTGGTTCACATTTTACAGTCATTGTCATTCATGTGCTCCCTATTCCGTAGCATCTTAACGTCCGTATTGCGTCCGCTATTCGGCTATCCGGGCCCCAAAATTTTTTGTCATGGATTTCGCTCAAACTTGGTCCAGAGGGGTCATCTGACGTGCTGATCACGATTATCACCCTTTCTCCGCAGGAAAGCGCCTCCCTGGAGGGCTACGGTAGGTATACGGTAGGGGGTCAAAATCATAGATTTGCCCGAAACTTGCCCCAAAGGGGTTATTCGGCCCGCTGATGCTAAATATCACATTGGTTTTGAACCGTAACGTCATTACGGTAGCTACACGTAAACGGGTGTAAAACATAGTTCTGCCTGAAACGGGTGTACGGCGATTCGGACGATCGTGAAGCTTTGCACACATCCACCGCCGTGCGCTACACACCCTGCCACGGCTTTTGCCTAAGCAAAGCACAGTGGAAAGATACATTTGCCGATTTGTGATTTCGACCCCTACCATAACTATGCAGAGAGACGTTTTCGTGCGAAGTGATTTTTTGGTGCCATCACCAGAGTTGTTTGCTATGTTTTTTCTTGATGTTACAATATCTTGAAAGATGTATCGTGCCGCGGTCAGTCTCAAGCGTAAATCTGGAGGACCACAAACGTATGCGAAGTCTAGACCTGTTTTTCCACCATATCTCACTGGGATGTTTGTTATCTGGTTTTATTACCTTTAGTACTTTCGTTTTCAGTAAAGAGAATCCTTTTATGGAAAATATTGTCGAAGGCGAAGGGGCACCCTCAGATATCCAGATGGAAGAAGTTCCACAAGGTTCATAGCTTTTGCTTTTTTTCCTCTCTGTTATGTTTCCTAGACTTTGTTTTTTCAGGTAACGTGTACGAAAGACGCGAGTTTCATGTTGAAACTCCCCTACGAGGAGTTCAGCCTTTTCCGTTGCCTAGATCACTTCATGAATGTGTTTAGAACGGAATCATGCACATTGACAGGGCAGCCAGTCTAATTTTGTCGAAGATGCATCGCCAAGAGTTTAACGAAGCGGTCTACTACGTAAGTACGAGTACATTGATTTTGATAAAAAACATACAAATTTTTTCTAGGAGTTTATCAGATCCGATATCGTACTACGCGTCAAAGTCACTTACGACAGTTTGAATCGCATGGTAGGATTGGACATCTACTCGCTATGGCATATTGCTAATCGCATGACAGTACGGCTGCACATTTTGGGATGTCATATATTCCGTTTTTTTTGCTCAATCAGGTCATTCTTACCGGTATCTAAAAGTGCTTTCTCAGTATCAGCATGGCTGCTGTGCTTTACGTGTTTTCAACAGGGTGCTTAGCGTAAAAGGTATTAATGATATTATAGTTGTTGCCTGTTGTGTTCTGTTTTTGATTTTGTATCATGTCGTTCTGTAAGTCTTTGGATAATAAATCTGCCATCATCATACCTGTATACATGTTTGGCAATAAATCTGACACTATGAGGTCGTATTTCAATGACAAAATATGAATTTTATCAAAGGATTGCTATCTGTATCACAATAGGGTCCCACAACGCTTTCGAGGGAGCGGGCGAGCGGCGTACCTTCATTCCACGGGGGGCGGGAGGCATGAGCGCTCGCACGCTCAAGGCGCGCGGGCCTTCGGAAAAAGTGTCTGAGTCAAAGCAGCTGAGATACGCTCAGAAAAAGTGGGCGTAACTCAGCTGCAAATTCTAGAGCAGTGCTGATCAGCGCTGATCAGCACGAGCAGCTCTGACATTCGGTCCGTGCGGCACGCGCGTGCTCCCCGTGCGGCGCCTTGTAGTGCGAGGGGGCCGAACGCTTCGTGCGCGCGGGCCGAACGATGAATGCGCGCGGGCCGAACGCTCCGTGCGCGCGGGCCGAACGGTGAATGCGCGCGGGCCGCACGGTATCGAAAGCGCTCCGTCAGCAAGCTACTAGAGAATAAGTCTCTTTCACAGATCTTCTTTTTCTTCTTTCGTCGTGCCGTGAGCATTCTCAACTTCACAGTCCAAAAAAATTCCGAATTAAAAAAATTAGAAAATTTGAATTTGAATCCACAGAATTCAAAATTCAATTTCAGCACCCATTCGGGACGCTGTCGGGGGATAACCTCCGTAGAAGTAAAAAACTTCTTTTCCTGCGATTACTCAAATTCCAAGAAATGATTAAGACAGCTCCACAAGTGATGGAGCAGCCTAATCATGGCGTCGTACCTCACGCGGGTACCTATTACGCTTATAGCGTGTGAGAATTGGAGGAGCGCGGGCGGCACGGGGAGAATATATTGCGCGCGGGCCGTACGCTAAGGATACAAGGCGCGCGGGCCGCACGGTACATGACCCCGCCCGTAAATCTAGGCGCGCGGGCCGCACTGCTAGCCATTAACAAGCGCGCGCCGCACGCACCGAATGTCAGAGAGCGCTGCTAAAAAATGAGTTGCTAGGTATGGACATGACCTTTTGCGTTAGCTGCAACACATTAACTCCAGTGCATTTAAGGCGCTTGTTCGAAGATGTTATAACGATCGAAAAGCAGCCACTTTGATGGTGTGTACAGGGCTCCTAAATTGCAGAGTCGTTTGCACCAGCGGTCGCGCGACCGCGTCGCGCCCGGGCATTTTGCCGGCACCGGCGCCATCGATCGAGGCGGCGCCATTGATGCCCGGGCGCGATGCGGTCGCGCGACCGCTGGTGCAAACGACTCTGCAATTTAGGAACCCTGTACCTATGGGAACATTTCTGAGGGACAGACGATACACAACGCACGCGGTGTTTTACGCCCAACAAGCATACCTCGATATCTTATATATAAAGCTGAATGTCTGTTTGTCTGTCTGTCTGTCTGTCTGTCTGTCTGTCTGTCTGTCTGTATGTCTGTGTGTACGTATGTTCCGAATAGAAAATTCCATTTCTGAACCGATCGGGACCAAACTTGGCACACATACACTTCGGGCCCCGGCGGGTGTCATAGGCTACTTTTCGTATCGATCGATATCGATTTTATCGATTTTTGGCAAAATTTGAGCTACGGGGCTGGGAGTTGGCACAGGGGGGTAATCGAGCATGCTGATCACCCCCGTGGGGGTGATCAGCATGCTCGATTACATCCCCCTGCCAAATTCCAGCCCCCTAGCTCAAATTTTGCCAAAAAATCGATAAAATTGATAAAAGTAATGCACGGTTTCGAAAACTAATATTGTATTCGTAATCAGCATGCTCGATTACCCCCCTGTGCCAAATCCCATCCTCCTAGCTCAAATTTTGCAAAAAATCGATAAAATCGACATCAATCGATAACGAAAAGTGGACTGTGACACCCGCCGGGGCCCGAAGGTATGTGTGCCAAGTTTGGTCCGGATTGGTTAAGAAACGGAATTTTCTATTCGGAACGTACGGCGGAGCCGGGTAAGCCAGCTAGTCAACCCATATGTCTTCCCTCAGCATGACGTGTACTGTCTGCGCCCCAGAGAGGTTCCCATGTGAACCAGCGTGCGTACGTGGTGCGACGCTGCCTTTCGCTCTTTTTGACACGTTTATCCTGAGATTTCAACGGAAGTGCCCGAGGTTAACACGTTTAAAAGTGCGAAAGGCAGCGAGAGGACGTGGTACTCATGGGAACCTTGCTGGGGAACAAACGATACATGGATTGGTGAGGCGCCGCCTTGCTTCGAGGCCTGCGCCATGTTGCGGGCGCATCTTTGGCGTGACGTGGCGCTCAAAAAAATGTGGCGCAGACTTTCCCACGCTGTTCTTGTTGCCAACACCACGCCCAAGATGCGCCCGCAACTGGGCGCAAGCTCAAAGCGAGGCGGCGACTCATCAATCCGTCATGTTGAGGGAAGACATATGGGTTGATATCGAGGGTATCTCCTTTGTTCCCTCATTTGGTAGATTCCGCGTTCCGGCGGTTCGGACGGGTACCAGAGAGGTCTAAGCGATTCCTGAGTAGTGAAAGTTTCGCAACCCCCGCGCTCCACGGCGAAATTGGAGTGCGACGAGGCGGTTGCGCGGCGTTTGCGAACATTGCGCTTCTTGTGCGTTTCAAATTCGTGACCATTTGGTTTCGGTTTGGAAAGGCAATCATTCCGTTATGATCAGTGCTAGAGTGCTTAACGAATATAGTTTCAGTATTCTCATGTTATGGCCGTAACCTTACATACGACTGTTGGTGACATAAAAATAGAGTTGTATTGTCAAGAGTGTCCAAGAACTTGTGAGGTATATAGTTTTATTTCATTTTTCCCCTCCAAGTAATCTTCATCTTAGAATTTCCTTGCTCTTTGTGCCAGTAACTACTACAACAACAACATATTTCATAGGTAAGCAACTGTCTCTCGATCTAAATTCTGTGTTATCCTTCGCGATCTTATACTTGAGGAATATCAAGGATTTTATGGTGCAAACTGGTGATCCAACAGGAACTGGCAAAGGTGGTAATAGTATCTGGGGCGCACCTTTCGAGGACGAGCTCTCTGTAGAGCTTCGAGTTAGGCAATTCGTAAATATCTTTATTCGTCTTACTGTAATATTTTTTATTTGAGCACGACGGTCGAGGGACCGTATCTATGGCAAATAACGGTCCCAATACAAATAAATCACAATTTTTCATCACATACGCTAAACAACCTCACTTGGATCTGAAGTACACAGTCTTCGGCAGGTACTGGTAATCATTTTTCATTTAAGCACTTCTTTATAACCATTTCACTTAGGGTTATCGATGGATTCGATGCGCTCGATGAGCTTGAAACTATCAAGGTTGACGCCAAATATCGCCCGGTTGTTGAACAGAGGTACATTTACTTTTATGAAGTTACTAGTATTTGGCACATTCCAAATTTGGCAATCAGAAAAAGCTGTTATCAAAATGCTTTGCAATAAAGCTATGTTGGATTGATAGCTGGAAAACTGCAAATCAGCCGACTGAGTAATCTTTTCGTGTTGTGGCAGCAAGTTTGAATAACTAAATACCTTTTTTTCGTGCACGTGAAATGGAATATCTTAAAGCTGTTAAAGTTATCTAATATATAAAGAAACGTAAGCACAATTCAAAAATTGCAAATAGCGGGAAACCGCTTGGCAGTCCCGAAACGAACGCTCTTCTAAATAGCACCTTTAGATTGCTGATTCACTAGTTTCTGTGTGTAAATATACTTTTTCAAAACCAGAATGATTTTCCATGACCATTTAGGGTATCTAGAGAGAAAGGCTCGCTCTTGATGCAATATTTAGATGATTCTTGCTGCTTCGATTTATCTTTATTTTAGCCCCATACTATGAGAAAAAACAAATTTTTCATTCAAAATATTTAAGCGCACTGATCTCAACCGATCAGAGGGTCATTATTTTATTGCTGTCATGGGAGATCCGCTTCAGACCTTGAGATGCTGTGATCCATCCTTTTGCTATCTCAAAAATACCCTAATTTTGCGCGTACAACGCGCATATTTATTTTCCAAGCAAACTGCATTGTGTTTCTGAAAGGATGCTTTTGCTGCACGTTTCTCTTGGGCAATAAGCAGCATGATATAAGGTCGTTTGGTCACGAAGTTCTTTGGATTGTTTGAGGTGGTAGATTTTAGGAAAGAAAATTCCCCTTGTACGTGAGAACTATATTAAGTCGCTTCATACAGTGCAAGAAAAAGATGTTTACTTGAACCGGCCTTCTGAGATGTGATGCCTATTTTTCTGGAGGGCTTAAAGCGCTGATTCCGAATCTTCATCCTTTATCTGCTGAGCATTTCTGGACAAGGAGATATGAGGGTTTGTAGGTGCAAAATCGAATGAGCTATACGATAAAATCGTCCGCATTTTTTTTTTGAAAATAATTAAGACAGCGGTGAATGAGGCTACCTTAATTTAAGGGTATTCGTACGGAGTGCCCTGAATCATCGCTGCTGCAGTTGAAGTCTGGGAAGAATATTACGATATCCAGATGGCGCAATCGATTTTTTGCTTTGTCAAACGCTCAGATAATCGCCGGGGGCAGGCGGTCCGCAAACTCGCGCTTTTCTGCAGGCGGTCAGCAGAATTTTGGGGCGTGGCCAAACCTTCAGCGGGCGGTACTTCCGCGTTCTGCCAGCGGGCAGCAATACAGAATTTTCTGCGAGCGCTCGTCAAATAATATCTTCCAGCGAGCGCTGGCCAAACTTTCAGCAAGCGCTCGGACTCTTTTTAGGTATTTTCGGGCGTACGTCGAGCGCAGGTAAGACTCTGTGTGGCAGAGGTGTCACCGTTGGTTTGATTACTCAAGTTTGAGGTACTTTCTCTCAGCGGAAAGTACCTGGGGGTTGCGCGGTTTTGCATATTCTCGCGGAAAGTCCGCGAGAATGCGGCCACTGCGCCGCAGCTAATCCATAAAGAAACCGCGATTGTTCTTCAAGCATTCGTCTTTAATTTTGCCAACTTTCTTCCAAATTTCTGCAAGCAGGCCGCAAAAAATCAACGAACTATTTTTCCGGTGCGCGCTTGCTCAAAATTCGCATGGCCGCCTGCCCCCGGCGGTTATCTGAGCGCTCATAACTCCTTGTCCAAAAACGCTCGCAGATAAAGAAGGCAGACTTGGAATCAGGGTTTCATGTCATCTGAAAGGATTTGCATTTCATTTCAGGTTCCGTCCACTTCCTCGTAAGCTTAACCATATAAACCCATCACTGCTCATCCTAGCTCATCTCCACGGCCCCGGGCATACCTCACGCAATTTCAGTCGCGACGCGATCTGGCAATCTGCCAGGTCTCTTTGAATCCAACACCTGCAGACTATTTACATTATGTACAACTTTCACAGATCAACAAAATGCCCCGTCTTCTGTTTATACAGATGCGCTTAGGCTGAGGTATAAACATTCGAGTATTGGATTGCTCGACTCTCTATGAAACTCGGCATGGCGTAGATGTTATAGTTATTTATTATCTATCCTACGACTAGCAGACGCGTGACGGCATTGCGGACATTGTCTTAACATCTGTGAGTTTGCTCCTCCCTGTTTCCAAAGAGTGAATAAACCTGGACGAGATAAATGACAGGTATAAACCTGTTAAATACACGATTAAGCTTGTTTAGAAATGTGTGCAATGCGGTCTCGCGTCTCTTAGTCGTAGAATGAATGATATGTAAGCCGCACTTGAGGAACGGTGAAGTCGACTGCACGAAATCGCCTGGATCGCTGTAGGCTGAACGCAAGCGAGCTTGCACGCGGCTGCCGAATATGGGCGCTATGATGACTCATGCGCGCTCTCCGGGGATCCCCGGGGGATCATCATTTCTTCAATTTCAAAGTGATTTATCTTCCTGAGAAGTCATGGAAAACGCTGCGAATTTGTACTGAGGATATACTAGGCACTGCTAAGCATGTTCTACACAGGAGAAATGGAATCTGAAGATTGTGAATTTTTCGATAATCCCGAGCTCGCGAGCAGTGGTTCATCGAAGATGTCGATATCCTGGATTGGTACTATTCCACATTAGTTGACCCAAAAATTGAAAATCGTCAATTTCGCTAAAACTGCTTTGTCTAGGGGGCTATTTGGTATGCTGAACACGAATATGGTGTTTATTTCGTGCGACAGCGCCATCCGGTGGAGTTACGGTAGGACTGCGGTAGAGGGTCAAAATTACGAATCTGAAAATGCAAATATAGTACGGCATGCTAAACGTGTACATAGTAGAAATAAGTAAAATCTCAGGGCGCTATTCCACATTAGTTGCCCCAAAAATGAAAATCGTGAATTTCGCTAAAACTTCGCCTAGAGAGGTTATTTGGTACGCTGAACACGAATATGATGTTTATTTCATGCGACAGTGCCATCCGGTGGAGTTACGCTAGGATTACGGTAGGGGGTCAAAATCACGGATTTGCCCGAAACTTCGTCTCGAGGGGTTGTTCGGCCCGCTGATGCTGAATATCACATTGGTTTTGTACGTAACGTCGTTTTCTCAAATGTGATATTCAGCATCAGCGGGCCGAACAACCCCTCGAGACGAAGTTTCGGGCAAATCCGTGATTTTGACCCCCTACCGTAATCCTAGCGTAACTCCACCGGATGGCACTGTCGCATGAAATAAACATCATATTCGTGTTCAGCGTACCAAATAACCTCTCTAGGCGAAGTTTTAGCGAAATTCACGATTTTCATTTTTGGGGCAACTAATGTGGAATAGCGCCCTGAGATTTTACTTATTTCTACTATGTACACGTTTAGCATGCCGTACTATATTTGCATTTTCACTAACTTTCCAGGAAGATAATTGACTTTGAAAAAGAGAGGTGATCCCCTGGGGATCACCCAAAATGGCAAAAAACCAATCTTGTAGGGCACTAACCTGGCATCCATTATACGCAGGTATAAGGGTATGAAAACCTTCCTAGGCAAGGTAGAGAAGGAAGAAGAAAGATACCTAGAGTAGCGAGATATGACGCATCCCCTCTCAGATCTCCTCTCCAGCGGGGATGTACGTGCATTCGGGCCTTACTCAGACAGTTGGAGCGTGCGGCGCACGCGCGTTTATAGCCAATGCGGCAAAGCGCGTGCCTTATTTGTGGGCGTGTCCGGCGCTGCGCCAAACGCGTGCCATCCTAGACATTTGGTGCGTGCGGCGCGCGTATTAATGGCCAACACCGCGACGCGCGCGCTACGTTTATGTTGGATCTCGCCACCCGCGCGCCTAATTTTGTAGCACGCCGCGCGCGTGCCTTTATACTCTACCCGTGCGGCCCGCGCGCCTGCAATTATCACATGCTATAAGCACAATGGATACCCGCGCAATGTACGACGCAGTGGTCAGGCTACCTCATCATTCAAGATGTTAGATACTACATCGTAGTAAATGAATAGTCGCAGAAGTGGAAGTTGTTTTTTGCTTCCAAGCGTTGGCCTTCGGTAGCATTGCAAATGGATGCTGGATCCGAATTCCTGGATTCAAATACGAATTCATATTTTTTGGCGTATGAAGAGTGGAATTCCTATCAAGACCTGTGGCATAAGCGCAATGAAAAACTGAAAAAATGCAGCCATCCGCGGGCCAGCACCAGCGGCGCGGCATCCAATGTCCCGCCACCCGCGCACTGGGTGTTGCGCCACCGTGTGACTGCGCGCGCGCTGCCCGCTCCAACTGTCTGAGTAGCATGTGATAATTGCAGGCGCGCGGGCCGCACGGGTAGAGTATAAAGGCACGCGCGCGGCGTGCTACAAAATTAGGCGCGCGGGTGGCGAGATCCAACATAAACGTAGCGCGCGCGTCGCGGTGTTGGCCATTAATACGCGCGCCGCACGCACCAAATGTCTAGGATGGCACGCGTTTGGCGCAGCGCCGGACACGCCCACAAATAAGGCACGCGCTTTGCCGCATTGGCTATAAACGCGCGTGCGCCGCACGCTCCAACTGTCTGAGAGCACAATGGATACCCGCGCAATGTACGACGCAGTGGTCAGGCTACCTCATCATTCAAGATGTTAGATACTACATCGTAGTAAATGAATAGTCGCAGAAGTGGAAGTTGTTTTTTGCTTCCAAGCGTTGGCCTTCGGTAGCATTGCAAATGGATGCTGGATCCGAATTCCTGGATTCAAATACGAATTCATATTTTTTGGCGTATGAAGAGTGGAATTCCTATCAAGACCTGTGGCATAAGCGCAATGAAAAACTGAAAAAATGCAGCCATCCGCGGGCCAGCACCAGCGGCGCGGCATCCAATGTCCCGCCACCCGCGCACTGGGTGTTGCGCCACCGTGTGACTGCGCGCGCGCTGCCCGCTCCAACTGTCTGAGTAGACTCTGCCTCTTCTTCGACTAG